CAGGACGACTTCTCGCCTCGCCTCGCCTCGCCTCGCCTCGTCTCGTCTCGCCTTGCCTTGCGCGTGCACATGCACGTACAATGTACAATGCGTCGTGCTGCCGAGTGTGTCAATCTGACGATTACGGTGGCAGTAGTGTTGGTGGTAGTAGTAGCGGTAGGTACTAGTAGTGGTGGACGTCTGGAGTATCGACTGGAGGAACGCGCCGGGCTAATATTAGAATTTCGACTAAAGATAAGATCTGCTGTTCATCTCCCGCCACCAGGCCCTAATTTTGGGTCCTCTTTCGCGCGGAACATCCTCTTTTTATTTTCCTTGGAACGTCCAATATATAAGAAGATATCTTCGCATCGTATATACTCCAATGCACGACCTCAAAAATATGTCACAACGATAGGTGTCGTGTACTTCGATCGATTAGAAAAGAGACTCGGTTGACGTTTGTTGTTATTTACTTGTTTTATCACTCGCTCTCTTTTTCTTACTCTTTAACGATCACTCTGAAATAATTACTCTTTTAATGGAGCACTCTCTTCTATTAATTCACTTTAGACAGATTACATAAATTTACCTCTCCATGATTTTTTTTACATATGTAATTATTTTTTACCATCGGTATAATCGTTCGATAATATTTCTCTGTTAATTAATGTTTTTCAAATTGTTTTTTTTTTTTCCCCCCAAGGGTCAACGTTCAGCTCAGTATTAATAACGCAATATAAATATGATAAGAGCGTTACGTTTGCCTCCTCGTGCAATTTCTTCTTACGTATATTCTGTGCGTTTTACCTAAATTTAGTAACATCATCGCTCGCATTAAAGTGTCAAGTGCCGCGTTTAAATACACATTAAGAACTAGAAAGAGGGTTGCTTATCTCAGAGGGATGAGAGAGACACACCCTGAGATAGTGATGAAGTCTCTGTCAGCACGGTCAAGTGAGAATGAGTCATTCCGACGGTTGCGTTGCAATCTCGATGATGTCAAGAGCACGCCGAACAAGAATCTCCGAATAAGGATCGCAAAACACTCGTGTCTCGTAATAAATTAGATTATCATTTTTTTTTACGTTATACTTGATATTTTTTATTTCCTTTCCAGAAAATTAGATTCGTGTTGTTTTTACGTTCTGTCTAATGATGCAATCCCCGTTTTCTATTTTCTGAAAATAAATAATGGTAGTAAATTTTTTATTTTTTTTTTTTCAAAAATAATGATTAGTGCTATGTTTTATAATGAGTCATGCCTGAACAAGAAAGAAAAATCATAAAAAATATTGATATTCAGTTAAGAAATAGAATATAAAAACAGATCGAATACTGTGCATTGTATCGAAAGCATAGAAAAAAGTTCGGAATAACAAAGATTATTATTTGTATTAATTTCAAAATTATTCGTGCACGGTATAATATATTTGTTTGGTTAGAGAATAAAATCGTGTCTTAAGGGAAAAACATAGAAGAGGAAGTGAAATCGTCTTATCATAGGGTTCTTTGAACCTGTATGTAAATATGGGATCACGTTATACGTTAATGACAGTTAAAAGTGGAGATTCTTCGAAAAGTCATGGGGAACCTTCTTTTAAAGGTAATTTTGTCACGCGTTTAATAAAGCATTGAATTATTATTTCTCTTTAACATCTCATCATTTTATAATGCGTGCAGAAACTGACAATGAGTTGGTTAATTATCGCGTGAAGTACAATCGCGTGTTTGAAAGTATTATTTCTCAATCAGAGAGAGTTAGAACGTTCGTTATTTTTCTCATTGTAAAATACAAAAAAAAACTATCCTTCCTATTTTCATAATAATATATATAGTATTAAATTTAATTATGAATATACAGCTAATGCGGAATAGTAATCGAGCGAATGTTCTCTCTAGCGAATCTATGCATCAATTACATTTCTTCACTTCACTATTACGATTGTTTTGGGAAGACATTTTTGTAGTCTTCTAATTTTTTTTTTTTTTTTTTTTTAACTCCATTCTTCTATTGAACTGCCACACGTCTTAAATCGATATCGTTATATCGATGCACACTTTGCTACAAGTTAACAAATGTCTACGATTTTCAGCATCTCTTTGCTCGGTATAGAGCAATCGTAGTGTTATTGAGACGGATATTTCCGTAGTTGTCGTCTTGCAAAAGCGAGCGGAACTGGCACTACTAAAGCCTTTCTCTCTCAATGTCTTATAATTAGCCTGAGCGAGGCGTGAAGCGATTACGCAATTTCTTTTACGAAAATCGTCAGATCTCAGACTGTCAGCTGACTTAGCGAACTAGTCAGTAAGCGTTGATATTTCGCAGATTACAGATTGGTTGCGACTGGCGCAACCAATAATATGGAGTACATCCATAAACTTTTGCATCGTGCCACAAGCCCAAGAACGTCTCCTTCGCCCACGCTGATGGTATATTGCGTCGTGTACGCTTTCAAAGGCGTTTTCTGTCAAACTTTCCTTGGCATAAATTGACGCGATTGTTCATAAATCTTTGTGACAAGTAAAAATCGCGAAGAAAGTTTTTTCATTAAAAGATGTCCGACGGACATGAAACATTTTTGTTATACATTAAAGAATTTTCATAAATCGCCCATTATATGTTCGATAGACGCTTCATTTAAATTTGAAAGAAAAGAAAGAGATACGATATTCCAAAATATCTTAACGCGTTTTTTTTTCTTTTCAGAGCGGCAACGATACTCCCTTGACTCTCCCAAAGACAGCAGAGCATGAGGTCAAGGTTCATTTTGCTCGCGAGTTTGCCGATGTAGGATCGGTCACGGAAAATCTCTGCTTGGCTCCGGAGAGTCTTTCGTCGGCCAGCAGTTTCCATAGCCTCAGCAGTACTCTCAGTATCAAGAGCAGTAGCGGCACATGTACCGATTCGATATCCCAAACTCCTGATAACGTAGCGGACACATCATATGTGAACTCCAACATACCCGGTGTAGAGGATTTGATCCTCGCGTGTGCAGACATCCATTTAGGAAGTGAACACGACAGTCAGGATCTCAGTCAAGATCAGACGTTTACATCGGCCATAGACGAGGTACCGTTTCCCACAAGAAATTGTTCCCTTAACGAAGATTTGTTAGACAACGCCGATAATGAAACGCAAGTGATTGAGACAAATCCTCAATTATGCAAGACAACGCCTTTGAATCAAACGCATATTTTGGGATCGTCTAATAACACACTTCCCGTTCAAGATTCACAGTTTGTGACTTCATATCCTCCTGCGGAAGAATACGTACTACAAGTAGAAGAATCGATTGATAAGCATATTCCGTTACAGGAAAGTGCTACAGTAAGTGAGATTGAAACGTGCAACATTGTGAGTAATCTTATAAAGGATTCACTGCCAACAAGTAATGTGAATGATAATCAGTTGAATATAACAACTACTGTTTCATCCAACAATACAACTTTCGATGTGATCGCGCTTAATGAAGAACAGACAGTGAAAGATTGCAACGCCGAAACACTATCCCAAGAAGATCCACAGTCGTGTCCTACTGAAATTTCTGTTCCGTCCATATCCCCGTTAGCGCAATATGCGGATCTTTCGTTACCTAGTATATCCAATATATCTTTACCATTAGAACATACTGATAATAGTAAAACGCAAGAAACGAGTATACAGACTTTATCAGACCTTACACAGGATACATTAACAGTATTGTCATCTTCTGACAATCTTGATCAAAAATTATGCGTATCATCGCAAGTAATTGTAAATAATTCTATTACTCAAACTAAAGCGAACGAAATTATCAAGGAGCAAGAGTTGCCTGAATTAGATAATAGTATTGTACCAGATAAGGAAGATAACATACTATTATTAAATAACACCAGTATTATAGAACCAAAAACATCGGAAATTGAAGAAAACTTACAGACGAGTGTCGATAAAAAAGATTTAGAGGTAGAACATAGCGTAGTATTGAATGAAGTACAGAAATTATCTGAAGAAGAAATTGCCATATGTAATGAGACCAATGTTATAGAAAAACAAAATAATTCATCAGAAACTATAATTATAGAAAAGGAAAAATGTATCGTAGAAAGTGCACCTACGACGAGTGATAGTAAAAAAGACACATCTATTGAAATTCTTGATCGTACACTTACTTTACAAGAGATAGATATCAACTTTGCACCAGATGAAGAACAATACGAAGAATTTAAACCTCAAAGACAAAGTACTACATTGTCATTGATCAATGGACATTTTGAAGAATTAAAATCTACAGTGGAAAAAGTTACTAATGAGCTACTTAATCCTTCACTTGAATTTACGGAAGAGACAGATCAATTTGTCAGTGCAACACCTGAATGTAAGTTATTGAAAGCTCTTTTTCGTAATTTTATTATTGAGATTTATTAATTACATATGAATACTATGTTTTTTCAGTTTTCCAAGATCCCTCGACATTTGATTTTTTGTTAGCACGAAGTAATCCTACCCATACAAATCGTCTTAGAACCGAATCTTTGTATGTTAAGTTTGACCCATTGGTATCGAATATCAGCATGTTGCCTCAAGGAAATGCCCAAACAATAAACGAAGAGAAAAATGGCAAAAATGAATCGCCACTTCCTGATGTTGGTACACCAAAACGTAATCCTGCCATAGCAGCTATAGACAGGCTGCTTTTTTATAGTCCTCTCCCTAATGCAACGGTGCAAAAGTCAGAGGAAGTTCAAGAAAAAAATGTAAGTGAAAAACTATCTGTATCTTTAATTACCATGTGAAGTATCTACTTCATATTAAATTTTGATCATGAGACAAGCATTAAAAGCAAAATTTGTTCAGGAGCAGCCAGTAGAAGAGCCTAAATTAGACACACCACTTATTGATCATATAGATATGAGTAAAGAACTTGAACTTGTAAGAACGACGGTATTACAATTAGAAGAAGAATTGGAGAAACAGAAAAAGGAGCATGAAGCAGAATTGGAAAGACAGAAAGCAGCCTTTCAGGAAAAAATTAATAAACTACAGGCACAAATGTCACAAGAAATAAAAACCAAAACCCAAATGACGTAAGTAATTTATTCAAAATAAATCCATTTAGATTAAATAATTTAAATAATTTACTCAAAATAAATTAATTTAAATTAAATTAAATTTAATATGAAAACACTTGGTTTAGGGTTGTTGTGGAAGAATACGAAAAATCGATTAGCAGATTACTCACAGAACGAGAAAGAGATCGTACAAGCTTCGAACAAGACAAGATAAAATTGCAAGAAGAATTGCAAGCAGCAAACCATCATCTAACTAATACGGAAGCAGCATTCAACGATGTACACCAAAAGTACGAAAGACTTAAAGGAGTTGTATCAGTGTATAAAAATAATGAAACTGTACTAAAAGAAAGTATCCAGGAGAATGTAGAAACCATAAAAACATTGGAAACGCGATACGATCAACTCAAGGAACATGCAATGGCTCAACTAGAAAAGTACATTATTGATATAGACATACATATGTCATACAATATTTCTCGAAATAACAGATATCGTGATATGTTTTAATATCGTATTATATTATATTTTAGGGCTAATCTGGAGTTGGATGGAATACGGAAACAGAATGAGGCGGAAACAGTCAAATTGCATGCAATGATAAGGAAAGCAGAACTTAAAAGCAATTCGCTCGCCGAACTTGTGGAGCAGAAATCTAAGGAAAATAAAGAACTTGCGAAAATCTTAGACGAAGTTATCGCCAGGGTCGGTCACGGAAACTCAGAATGAAACGAGGTATCGCGGTTGTGGCGCGATTAGTCTTTATTTTTTTACTTGTCCTTCACTGTCTCTTAAATATAAATATATGTTAGATACGATTGATGTATGTATACGTGCATTAACTCGTAAAGTTATTGCAAATTGCGTTTTACTTCAGAAAAACGCCTTTTATTAATTATTTATAAGTTGTGAAATATAACTATTTTAAAGCTAATAAAATTGTGCTTATATTAAAAACACATTTTTATTTATACGATAAAAAATGTTCAATACCCTGTATGTGGGTGTAACAATATACACATCCCAATTTTTAAATCTTACCTCATTACCGTAACACATTTTATCTTATATTATTAAGTTATATAAAAATCATAGTGTAAACACACGTCGGCTAAAGGTATAAGCACCCATATATTTGGTCATTTTAGTAATGTCCTGTATTTGCGAAAGATTAAATCTTTCATACTTTCTGAATTTTACTAATTGTACTAATAAGTACTGTCAATTTATTGACCTAGTATCGATAAGAAACAGTACGTGATGCTTGGCTAGTTTCAACATACGATCGCTTGTACTTCCAGGTTTTCGTGGAATATTTCTATTTTCAAGATCAGGCATAAATTTTTTGACTGTGCGTGCCAAATTTGCAGCATACTGTTTAAATTTCGGATGACTCATGCCAATGCCTTTGCTTCGTAGGGCCTCCGCAACTGCCCAAAGTAATTTCTAGAAATAAACAAGAAAATTATATCTATCAAATATATATAGCGTAATAAAATAAACAAAAAGAAATTAACGATACAAACCTTTCTATGAGTATCGCTTAGTTCGTTCTTTCCTTGATTGACAGACGTTTCATTTTTCGATAGAATACTGCTCGACGAATGTCTATCCCACGTAACCTTTGACGTACTTCTTATTTCGTGCATGCAATCAAACGATAAGCTTTTCGCCCATTTCAATCGTGGCCCTTGTAATTCTTCTTCACATTTTCTTTTTCTACTTTCTTCTCTTGAAGAGGTTTGTTTCGCATCTTCAGATTCGTTCTTTTTTGGTGTTGAAAATAAAACGCGTTTAATTTTTTGAGTATCCGTATTATTTGTACCTAATAATTTGCTAGGACCAGCATGATCTGATGGGGGACTTTGAAACAATGCACGCTTCGAAGTTTCTAATTTGGATTTACATGGACTTGACTCATCTAGCATTAATCTCCGAACTACTTTCTTCTTTGCTGAACTTCTTGGACTTTTACCTCGAGGACTCTTACCTCTTGGACTTTTACCACGTAGACTTTTACTTCTAGGACTTTTTCCTTTTTTATGTGTAAGTTTCCTGTATTATAAAAAAAACATTACATATATATATATATATATATATATATATATATAATTATACTCTATTAGTTCATCATATTTTTTTAATGAGATACATACTTAATTGGTATCATTAACTGTCTTTTATCAGTGATTAGTCCCAATCCTTTCAAGTTAGCGCTACAGAAAGTCCTACGTCTTTTGGTTAAATGCGTCAATCTCTTCTCTGGACTTTGACCATTTCTGTGTTTCATCAATAAACTTCGCTTCCTCGCACTTCCCGGTTGTTTGGAAAACCATATATTACAAGTAGATTGTGTCTCAGCTCCTATGTATCTTTCACACAATTTAACTGTTAAATTCTCAAACTCCTCTACAGTTCTGCTTCTGTTATAACTGAAATTTAAAAAAAAGTAGCATTAAAAGAAGTAGAATTATACTTTATGGTAAATTAAAAGCTGTAATAAATTGAACTCACTATATGCCATGGAACTTGTGAGAATAAGCCTGAGGCCATGTTAAAGCTTTAGCCTCTTCTTCACCAATCGTATGATAAAGAAGAGGAGAATGATCCTGAGATAAATCTGACTTGTCTACGCCTGGTAGAACTGTTTCTTTAATTGTATTAACTGGATTGTTTATCTCCTTAGGAACATTATATTGTACATTCAAATTATCGCAATCGCTATTGTTTATGTCTAATTTTGTATCTTCGGTACTATCAGCTAACAAATCACAAGCGTCAAAAGCATTAGTCAAATTCCTCGGAGTACCTTTTGCACATTGATACGAAATATTTTTATTGTTAGTTTCTATGGGTCTCTGTTGCTGGGGCTTTGTACTTTCCGTAGTTTCTGAACTTCCATTGGAAAATGGGCATCCAATATAAAACAATCGATGATTTTCATAAATGTGTCGTAGAAAATCAGAGCAATCGCTTTGGCATGTCGTATGTCTTGGCGGAGGTGGGACACCACTCAAAAACTTATTAATTCTAACCAGCGTATAACTATCTGATTTTGCAATCAATTCAGCCTGAGTAGGTTCTCGAGGAGGAATCACTGCCAATATACTATTGTCGTCGGTTAATGCCTCAACATTTTCCTTATATGTATCACTTTCGGTATCACTATCGAACATTTCTGGACTAGAGACATTTCGAAAAGTCTCTTTAATTTGAGAGTTCTCATATTGATTGGTAAAACAGTAATCCATATGTTTTTTTCTATCTAAAAATTCAGAAAAGTATTATACTGCAATAAATTAAAACAATGTGCAACACTTATCAAATTTTTTAAAAACATATGCATGCCCAAATGCTGTTTCAATCGTTGGCAATGTATTCTTTGTGTATATTTTATCAATCCCAATATACTATTCTATTGATAATGTTTCATAAAAGTTATAAAAGTACATATGATACGAATCTAAACGCGTATCTGATAATGGAGCAAAACGCCACATTCGGTGCGTATCGTGATATATATATATATATATATATATATATATATATTATGAAATGTGTAAAATCGAGTACGTATAGCATATATACTTACATTCCAGAATAATGACAGCCGAAAGATTAGCGTCCCTCTTTCTTCACATACGTCTGTTCCTTCTGTGGCACAAAATATTACTTTTCATTCGCGAGACGACGAAGGAACTCCGTTCGATAACGCACTTTACACACTGGCCGTATAGGCTGTAGGCCAAGTTATTTGTTTTTCGAATCCCCGCGAATCACGATGATTCTACTGTTGCGTACTGTTCCCCCACCCCATACACTCGATGGAATGTAATGATCAGTTTAATAACCTTATCTTTAATAACGACATATATAGCCACACCAACATATGGTCTGTTAACTGTTTTCTGTTCTTGCACTAGACTGTACTAGAACTTTCTTTCTCGCTTTCGACAAATATCAAACATATGCACCTATCTCACTTGAAGTTATCACATCAAAGTGTATACATTAGTTCAGCCACAGAAATGATTGACTTATACATTTAAATCCAGTGAGAAACTAAAGGCAAGACCAATCATATTAGAGAAGTTTACAATAATTGCAAAGCTACTTTTTCTGCTAAACGCAACCATAGTTTTTTTTTTTTTCCTAAAAAGCATAAAATTGACAAAATAAGATCTGTTTGCACTTTTTTTGCACTCGGTATTTTTGCTTTCTCTCTTTTTCAGACCAAATACATGTCTGTCTCATTTTAAGTGAAAACATATTTAAAGATCTCAAGTTGCTAGCCTACTCGCCGAGCGATTGAATATGATTGGTTGGATCTGTAAGTAACAGAACCAATCACGTTCATTTGCTCGGCGAGAAATGATTTGAACAGACCTATAATTCCGTGAAAATCTTTTCGTGCATTGGTATCCCTGCGTTACAATCGCGCCGAGCCGAGCACGTTCATGAAAGAAATTTTGTGGTTATCTTTTACAAATGGCGACCTACGGTGAAACACGCCGTATCGTATGACCCGTAAAGAGTGATCCGGCCTGTTTTTCTCGTGTAAATACACATACACATTGAAACGTTCGGCACGATTTATTCGGTCGAACGATTGGAAAAGCATTAAAAGCAATCTTCGCGCGACAGATTCAATAATCTTGTACTAACAAGACTGTAATAATGGGAAACGCGATGGCTGCCTCCGCCCCCCCTCCACCGCCACCTACATCACAGGGTCCCGGATTATTACCGAATTTAGGGAAACCGGATCCGTCAACGGATATTTACGCGCCTACCGAAGTGCCCAGTCAGATTGAGAATCCGGGTACCATCGAGGATTTGCACAAAAAGTGTAAAGGTATCTTATCCAAAGACTCGTGTGTCACGACTCTTGAGTACTTCCTGCTTCCTCTTCGGACTGCTTCTCGTGTTTTTGCAGTTTATCACAGAAAACTTTCTAATAGATTATTTCCTTGACGACCAATAATTAATATATGATTTTCCACAGTGTCCTTAATAAACCCATTATATTTTTTCTTATAATTATATTGTACTGTTTGACAAATATTTTCCAACATTCTAAATTAAAATTTATGTTTTCTGTGTACTTGTGTTATATAGACAAGAAAATTACATTTTACATTTTATATTTCCAGATATATTTCCTATAAATTTTGAAGGAGCAAAACTAGTAGTCAATAAGGGATTAAGTAACCATTTTCATATTTCACATACTATTAACATGAGTTCTGTAATACAATCTGGTTACAGGTAAATCAGCATGGATGAAAGTATCTGCTTTGTTAATATCGATATGCTTTATAATACAACCTAATATATATATTTATTTATACGTGTACTGTATAACATAAATCTGGATCCTTTTATTCAGATTTGGTGCAACTTATGTTGGTACAAAACAAATTTCACCTACAGAAGCATATCCTATATTATTGGGTGATATTGACCCAAGTGGAAATCTTAATGCCAACATTCTTCATCAGTTTGGTTTGAGACTCAAAGGAAAATTGGCAGCGCAAGTGCAAAGAAATAAATTTACTGCTGTACAAATGACAGCTGATTATCGAGGGGATGCATATACTTGTTCTTTAACATTAGGCAATCCAGACGTTCTTAATGGTTCTGGTAAGTTGATAATATCTATGTTGTAAAGTATATATATATGTGTGTGTAATTTATGTTAATATTATAAATATATTTTCAGGTGTCCTTGTTTTACATTATCTTCAAAGCTTAACACCATCGTTTGCATTAGGCGGTGAGCTTGCATACCAACGTGGACCTGGCTTGCCAGGTGGACAAATTGCATTACTATCCGCTGCAGGGAGATATACGAATGGTGACTCTACATTCAGCGGTAGCATTAGTAAGTAATAATAGTAGTATAAGTTGTTCTGATACTCTTATGACTTTTTATTTTTTAAATAATTATTTTCCAAGGTCCATCCGCTTGTCACCTTTGTTTCCATCAAAGAGCTAGTCAACAATTACAAGTAGGCGTGGAATTAGAAATTAATGCACGAATGCAAGAATCGACAGCAACAATTGCCTATCAAGTCGATTTACCTAAAGCAGATTTAGTGTTTAAAGGTATTCACAATTACCTCAAGAATGTTATAATTTTATCTAATTCTATAATCTTTATTTAATTTTTGATATATTATAGGTAGCGTAGATACGACTTGGACAGTAGGAGCAGTCTTAGAAAAGAGATTACAACCGTTGCCATTCTCATTCGCGCTCAGTGGTATGATCAATCACAGCAAGCAGCAATTTAGATTAGGTTGTGGCCTAATCATCGGTTAAGAACGATATGCAGTTATGCAATTTTCAAAATGCGGATCCAAAGGAAATCGGGGACTATATGCTACACGCTTTACGTACAGTCAAACAGTCGTGTAATCTTAGGACCTACAATACCATATCGACTCCTTTCTGATTTTAATGGTTATCAGGGCATATCGTTTCGTTAACAATACAATTCTTGTTATAAACGATCGTGTTAATTTGATTAAATGATTTATACAGATTCCAGACTGGATTTCTCGTTTTAATATACCGTCTGTTTTTTTTCATTTCTGTCTATAACAATCTGTCTATCATTAAGATATTCGTAAGATTACATAACTTTTATCAGGTCAATGCTTTTTCCATCATAAAATTTAAATATATTTTTGCGAATGAAATGTTGTAATATTGTATACTTAGCATGACAAAATTCATATTTTTTATATTTATTTTGGACAATTGCTAAAAACAAATGTGTTAATTTTTTTATTAATACAATTTAATTGAAAATAAAATGTTAAATATAAATTTATTTATATAATTGAAACTTTAAAAAATAATTTAATTTTTGTTAATTACATTAACTTCACTAAATCAATAACATTTTTATAAACATCCCACAATCAAAGAAATAGTATATTTACAAAGTAGTGAAATCTTTGAAAAATTCCTGGTGTGTCATTTTCTGAACATGTAATTTTTCTGATATTTTCTATTTATTGATAAATACATAAAATATATATGGTTTTATCATAAATCATATGTAATTTCAGCATTTATTTGAGTAATAATTTTCTTAGTTATAAATGCAATGCATTTATCATACAAACCATCTACAAACAGATTTATATATTATTGCTGAATGTATCCATTAATTGATATAGGTCTCACGTTGAAAAGTTGCATTTTACGAAATAACAAATGGTTCGTGAACATTCGTGTTCATATATTTAAACTTTTACTCCATTAACTAACTGTTGAAAAAAAATATTGTAAATATGTCATATATGAAAAAAAGACGATATGTTATGTGCCACAATTAAAATAATATAACGATTAGAGAGTAATATTTGCTTTGTATTGGCTTGATTTACATATACATGCAACATCGTAAATTGTAAACATGCGTAATATTTATAAAAATTGTTGGTAAAACTTATTACAACGCACATTTTCGTTAGTTATTTCGATGATGTATAATTTGTTCGTGTGAAAAAAAGATAAATAGAAAATGTACAATCCCCGATGCATCCGCACGTGCGGAGAGATTCATCACGGTTTCTTACTCTTTAATCTGTTTGTATACAATTTTATTGTAAGATACGACAGAATAAAATTGTGTATTGTTGAACAAGATCAGCGTTTGTAAAAACATCCCTGATCGTTTATTCTTTAGAGTATGAAAAAGGAAATTTATATATAGGTATATACATAATGTGCTTTATCTTTGATCGAATAGATCGAGTCTTGAAGTCAGAGCATGCAGTTGCGAGTTCATTTCCTGAAGAAAACAATAAGCAATTAGTGCGAAAATCACTAAAAGCTTATGATGAACTGTGTATATAATATTCATGTGAAATATACGCGATTATTTAGCAAATAAATCAAGATCCCTTTTTAGTATTGTATTTACTTTAAAAATACTACTTTAAAAGTAAATATTTTGAACTACTCATGTTATTTATGATAAGTTTAGGAAAAAAAAGTTTATCTCTGCAATGATCAATATGAAGAAATTGGAAATATTGTTACTAATTTTTATTGCATATTAATACGATTAATCTTAGCAAATATCAACAATAACAAAACTGTTAGTTGTAATTTTCTGTTCGATAATATAACTCAATAACTGTAATATAACAATTATATAAGTTGTTACTATACATATTGTATGGAAAATTATAACTAACAGTATATCATTGTTAATTAGTATTTGCTAAGATATCATGATTGCTATCTGATGATAATTATACGAATCATTTGTTATATTATATATGTATTATATATATATTATTTTATTCGATAAATTTTTTGATACATTTCTCTAATAATGTCATTACAATTATTCAGATAGAATGGATGTGTCAATTTGAAGCTTAAATGAGAAAAAAAATTCTGCTTCTGCCTTTTTTACATTTAATTTTCTATTTTACGTATTCGTTTAAAAATTTATTAAAAAAATAGTCAAATAGAACGTCGTTAATTAATTATCATAATTTACTAAGAAAAACGTGCAGAGGGCATGCAATTCTCATTTAAAAGTATCGGTTCGAAATACATAATGTGAGATTATCGCTTCGCAAATTTTATCCGTTAAAAATGTACAGTCAGCATGAGTTCGTGACGGAAGTGTTGATTAAAATGACGAATGATCTACCGAATGTATCAATTGCTCAAGTATTCACCATCGCTACGGGTTCGTTGACG